GAATGCACCCAGGACTGTTCACCAGAGTGTTCACAGGCCCAGAACAGAGCATTGTTTGACCAGTCTGAACAACCAAAGGTTCAGCACTGAAGGACGCTCAGTGATCCTGTTCCATGTAGCAGTAAAAACATAACCAGGGAAGTAATGCCAAATACCCATGAAAATCTCACCTTATAAAGCATCACCCCAAGCTTTCATAACGTACATTTTATTTTTTCCCTATGCCTGAATTAAAGAAGCCCTTAAATGTATTTATTGTATTCCACCCTGATCTAGCAAAATTTTTATGCATGTGAGCCGCTTTAAGATCACTGTTTTCCAGGCTGTTTGTTTAAGCAAGCCTATGCATGTCCAGAAACTCTGGGACCATTGCTCTATATTAGATCATTCACATGCTCAAAGTTTTGTGTTTGCTGTGCTGTGTGGGCAGTGGTGCAGGGGCTTTGCACCACCTATTAGTGGTCTGTCTATCGTCTGTCTTCTCTCAGAGCCAGGATTAACAGAAACACGGTTGAAACAGTTTTTCTCGTGTTCCGGCTTGGATGTTTATTATATCTTATCAGAAAGCACAGAAAGTATGACAGCACTTCCAGCTCCTTGCTAGTACATCAAGGACCTAGGTGGTTCTTGTATATATTCAGCGCACATTAGACAAAGTGAGTACTGGAATAAGAAATTACCTGAAGGATTTGATGTGAATTTCAGAAAAAAAAGCAATGTTAGTTGCAAAGAGGAACATGAAATATGTATCAGATCCATTCTGTCCAAAAAGCCCATTCTGTCTCTGACAGCCTCCGACAGTTGTGCCAAGGAAAGGGATTTGGGCTTCTGCCCTGGTACAAGCTCTGGCACAGTGACAGCTCTCAGGGCTACCTGAACCTTTACGAAGTACTCTCACACTTAACAGTCCCTGATAGATTTTCTCTCCATAAATCTGCCTTATCTTTCTGCAAATTCCTGTGAAATTTTAGGAATCTGTGACATTTCCAATGAAGTTTAAGCCTACTTAAAATACTTTTTGTTTTGAAACTGCTGTCTATTAGCTTAATCCGTCTTCCAAAGCTTTTGCATTAGAAATTACAATGAGGAATCACTGTCCATTCAACTTGGTTTCACAAACTATTGTCATTATTTCCCCAAGCTACTTTTCTCATTAGCTTGTCTTCTAACTTTCATTTTATCTTCTACCTTACTATGTGGAGGAATTTCAGATCTGTGAAAAATTTTGTGACATTTTCTATATTTTTTGCAGATTTACTGTACCCTTTCTGCAGTACCCATCCAAGCAGAGAGCAGGTCACCATCACACAGAGTAAGAATCACGGCATTCACTTCCTAATGGCTACTAAATATTACCTGATTTTGGAATCACAAGGCTTTAAATTCCATTTAAATACTGTGCTTTATCTCACAGGCCAATACATCCATCATTTTATTGCTCAGTAGGAATCAAGAGGTCCTTCTGCAACCTGACAATTTTTCAAAATCTAAGTAACTCAGTGTGAACAACAGATTTTACTACTGAACTGTCCGCCCCTTTTTCCAGACTATTTATGCCTGTGTTGAACAGTACTGACCTTCAGACAAACTCCTTTTAAGTCCTACTTGTTACACAATCCATTGAAAAAGATGATAATCAATTCCTAACCTTTCTTTTCTAGAGGGTTGTAATCTCTATCTCATTGAGTTGTTCACCACTGCACACCATCAATTCATACACTGAGGTGAAGTATTCAAATTTTTGTTTTGAGTTTGTGCAAAGTAGGGAGCTTGGTGCTAAGACAGAAACGGCTGGCTCCCCAGCCATCAAAACTTTACACTATTTATATGTTTTAGCCAACAATGCCATTAGCATTACACAATCTTTTCATTAATTAGTGCTCAACTCTCCTATATGCTAGTTATAACTCTCGTTTCTCATGATAATTAGTCTACATGCACAGTTCTTTCCTGCATTTGAGCATGGGTCTGTTTAGAGTAGGTGGTCAATGAGTTGATGGTCATGATCTCCTACTGCTGGACTTACCTTTCCCTCAGTTACTGCTCATTTCTGCTGACTTCACTCCTGGTGGCTATCATCCAGGCAGCTCATTCATCTTGGGATTTTCTTCCCTTTTCCTTAAAACAACAGATTAGCCAAGCATGCAATGTTCACAATGCAATTGCTTAATCATAACTGTCTAGTCATAACTGCTGATTAACAACTAAACAAATTGCAGTTTGAGTCAAATCCTGAGGGGCTAAAATCTTGAGTGGCTCAATAAAACATGACTGCTGAATCTTCTAAAAACCTTTAATAAAAATTATTGCCCAAACCAGGAGGGCCAACCATGCCTGGTGTACCTCAAGTATCGCCAGCCTGTCAAGGGAAGGGATTGTCCTGCTCTGCTCTGCACTGGTACGGCCTCATCTTGAGTCCTATGTGCAGTTTTGTATACCACAATATAAAAAAGGTATAAAGGTATTAGAAAGTGTCCAAAGGAGAGTTACAAATATGATGAAGGTCCAGAGGGAAAGCCTGGAGAGCAACTGAGGTCACTGGGCTTGTTCAGCCTGGAGAAGAGACTGAGGGGAAACCTCATTGCAGGCTTAAACATCATCACGAGGGGAAGCCAAGGGGCAGGCACCAATCTTTCTTTCTCTTGTGACCAGTGACAGAACCTGAGGGAAGGGCAGGAAGCTGTGTCATGGGAGGTTTAGGTTGGATGTTAGGAAAAGGTTCTTCACCCAGAGGGTGGCTGGGCACTAGAATAGGCTCCCTAGGTCAGTGCTTACAGCACCAAGCCTGACACAGTTCAAGGAGTGTTTGGACAATGCTCTAAGGCACATGGTGGGGTTCTCAAAGTGTCCTGTCTGGGACCAGGAATTGGACGTGATGAGACAGATGTGCCCTTTCCAACTCAGGATATTCTATGATTCTGTGTTCATTGGCATGGTTTGCCTTGACAGATGAGGTCACTTGGCTCCTCCAAAGAGTCCCACAGATTTCTGAGGCACCATGTCCCTCTACAGAAAAAAAGCTGCTGGTTCTCAAGTGCATCATATCTATTCCTATTCTACTTCCTCTTGTGTTTGTTATTCTTCCCACTGATTTGATCAATATGCATACCAACGTTAGGGACTCCTTTTGAAGCTGCTCAGGTTTTGGCTAGAGGTGGTACTCCCCAGACCTCCAGTGCCTGCTGTAGCACGTGATTACACAGTCCATCTGCTTCATGCCTGAATCCCTGTGTAACTCCTGAATAAACATTCAATCTTGCCAATTTCCTACTACTTAAATTATTTCTTTTTACCTGCTACCCTGGCTTCAACTGGAAACATCTCTTCTAATACTTCTACCCAAAAAGCAGCATTTTAGCTTTAAAACCTCCCTGAGCTCCTTTCTGATAAGCATGGAGTTTAGTTTATTCATTACATCTTCCCTGAGTTCCTTTCACACCTTACCTAGAAGGCATGCAGACTCTGTGTCAGGTTCCTGGTGTGCAGGGAAAAAAATTGACTATTACCTTTTTTATCTTCACAGAATCACAGAATCAATTAGGTTGGAAAAGACCTCTGAGACCATTGAGTCTGACCTGTGACCTAACAGCATGTCAACTAGGCCATGGCACAGACATGTTCAGTCTTTCCTTAAATGCTGCCAGGGATGGTGACTCCACCGCCTCCCTGAGCAGCCCATTCCAAGGTCTAATCAACCTTTCTATGAAGAATTTCTTCCTAATGTCCAGCCTAAACTTCCCCTGGCACAGTTTAAGACTATGTCCTCCTGTCCTGTTGCTAATTGCATGGTGTTCTTTTGCAAGTTGATCCTCAAAACTTTTTTTTTTTTTTGGAGTGGGGAGGAATGTGTGTGCTTTAGCGTGTTGCTACAGTCCAGTGCTTTGGTCCAGTTTCCTCATTTAGATGCAGCTAAGGGAGACATCCCTGGAGGTGCTGGATGACAGCTGGCTCAATACGAGCCAGGAGCATGCACAGGTGGCCAAGAATGCCAATGGCATCTTGGCCCATATCAAAAACAATGGTGCCAGCAGGACTTGGCCCTGGTGAGGCTGCACCTCCAGTAGTGCGCTCAGTTTTGGGCACTTCATTTTAAAAAGATCATTGACGTGCCAGAGCTTTTTCAGTGAAGAGCAACAAGGCTCATGAAAGGTCCAGAAAACATTATGAGGTAGGAATGCCTTATGAGGAATAGCCAGGGAGCTCAGGAGGGACCGCTTTGCTCTCTAAAACCACCTGACAGCAGGTGGTACCGAGGAAGGGGGTGGTCTCTTCTACCATGCCTACAGGGAGAGGACCAGAAGAAATTACCTTAAACAGACTGGGGAGATCCAGATTAGATACTAGAAAAAACTGGTTTTTAGAGGGGTCAGGCATTGGATTAGGCTGCCCAGAGAGGTGGTGGAGTCACCATCGTTGGAGGTGTTTAAGAGGTGTCTGGATCTGGTGCCGGCTTAATGTGATTTAGTGGTTTTGGGGTTGCAGCAGCAGCAGCTCTGGGCTGATGGTTGGACCTAATGATTCAACCGTGGTGATTCTACAAATCGAGCCTTCAAACATGTTGAAAGATAAGCACTTCGCTACCCCTTGCTCAGCCATTTTTTAGTCACCCCACTTCATTTTGCTCATTCAAAACTACCTATTCCTTTTCTCCTTTGCGAGAATTCCCAAAGAGACCGTGAGGTTTGAGAAACAGTGAATGACAGGCAGAAGGAAACCCCCAAGACGCGCGTCCCGGGATAATCTCCCCTCTCGCTCCTTACATTCCCAAACGGGTGGCGGGCGCCTGACGCCGGGTGGGCAGCGCTGGGTGGGCAGGGCAGGGTAGAAGGGCGTCCCCTCCCTCAGGGTGTCGCAGCCGCCGCCCTCACGGCACGGGCAGTGAGGGGCGGTGCAGGGCAGGGAGGGCAGGGAGGGCCGGGCCCGCCCTCAGCGCGCCCCGCGGCCCCGGCGGAAGGAGCGGCCCGGCCGCCCCCGCCCCTCCTCGCCGGCTGCTTCCGCCCGGTGTCGGCAGAGACAGCGCCGGCCGCCGCCGTGCCGGGAGCCGGGGAGCCTGCAAAAGGGGTAGGTACGTGCCTGCCCTGCCCTCCCCTGTCCCTGTGCAGGGTCCCAGAGCCGCCCCGAGCCCGCGGGCGGTCGCCCCCGCCGCCCTGCGTGGCTGAGTCGGAGCCTCGCCCAGCAGGGAGGTGCCGCCAGCCCGGCTGTGTCGGGTGTCAGGTCTGTAAGCAGAGCTGTTCCGCCGAATAACGCTGGTGGTCTATAGGTGCGTTGGAGGATGGTCTGGCATCCCATGCAGAAAAAAACGCTTCTTACGTGCTCCCTTGACTTGTTTTGTCATGGAGGAGACTTCATGAAACGAGTCCTAAGTGGTGTCTCCTTTTCCAGCAAATAACTGAAGTGATGCTATTTATAATAGGTTTTTTCTTTGTGTTAGCGCTTATTCCTGTGGAGCATCTCTCGCAGCTGAGTGATGCTTGTTATCGTGGTGGCGTGTTATAAAACAAGAAACGAAGGAAAAGTCTGTGACCTGAAGGGCCTATAAATAGGAAAAGAGGAAAATAAATTTATAAATTCTTAGAAGTGAAATGAGATTTTTTAAGTGGGAAGAGGCGTATTTTGAGGAGGTACTGTTTTGGAAAAGCAAGGAGTCCTGCAGGCTCACACCCTCCTTCGGGAGCCTGCTGTCTGTCAGGTTTGCTGTCACTGCTGGTGCCAGGGCATCATCACTGTCAGCACCCACCTTCACGCCTGTATTTAGGGCACAGCAAAAGAGCCTGTGCCAGACGGGGTGAGCAGCAGGTTCAGGAAGCAAGTAAATGCTGGCATGGAAATGTGCAGTGAAAGAAATTAGGATAATGATGAAGGGCTATTTGAGGCATGGCAGTTGTTGAGAGCTTTCTTAGTGGTAAGTTTTTTGTCATGTTGCAAAAATGAAGAAGCACCTTATTTTCTTGCAACTTAGCTATAATATTAAGGCCTTGAATAGCTTGAATGATGCAGATCCTTATTTTTTTAGGTGTTTTATACTCCTGGCCCTCTGGGTACTTGTGATGCCCAGTTAAGGTCTGAGAGTCCATCCACATGGGCCTGTGTCAGAATCTGGATATGAATCTTTATTCTGTATGTCTCAGAGACTAGAAGCTTTCAATTACTAATTGTGATTATGGCAGCTTCCTATTTTCTTATGACACTTGCTTATGATGTCATTGAGGGAAGTGGTCACGTGTTGACAGACCTGGATAAACAACAACACTAAGACTTTATACATCATGGAATTACTACAAGGATTATATAAAAGCAGTCCAAGTCAGTGATTTTTTATGAATCTTGGACAGTCCCCTAAGCAGATGCCCGTGAAAAAGGCAAGCATGTATGATTGTACGTTGCCTAGTACCATTCTGTGAGTATCCACTCAGCTTGCAACAAAATACAGTCTAGGAACTTTCTGGAACAGGTGTGATGACATCTTAAGGATCCACTGTGTATTTCTCCATCAGCTCATCCTTGCCTTTAACCCATGCAGCCTTAAGAAGTTCTGTGAATCAAAAATCTGCTAACTCACTAATGTCGACTGGTTTTCGACACACTTTCTGCTCTTTCTATGTAGTGCTTCCCTACTTTCTGTTTATTTGCTTTGTTTGATTCACAAGAACAATTACAATAAATTGTGTATGAGTAATGGTAAAATAAGATTTCCAATATAACTGCCAAGCCAAAAACTTACCAAGTAAATTTGGTAAGATTTACTCTAAAGCTTTCTAATTGCACTGTTTTCAATGCTGATTTTTTTTCTTTAATTGATAGTTTCATTTAAAAGAAATCAAAGCTTTCTTTTTCCATTCTTGTGGTTTATTATAATGAGGGCACCTGGTCTGGAAAAAGGGGTGGTCCCCATTTTGGATGATGTCTGGGTTATTTTTACTGAGTATTAGAATCAGAATTTCAATGTTTCATCTCTAGAGCATGCTAAGCATGCATTTGTACAGAAAACATGTTTGCAGGATATGAAGGACAGGTAATTTTCACTTACTTCAATCAGGCATGCTCTTAATAGCTGTGTGGCTGTGTTTTCTCTGCTTGTGACAAATCATTGTGTAGACACTGAATTCCCAGTGAAATGTTTGACAACACTGGATTCCAGCTTACATGTTGAATGATGACATTTAGATGTCTTGTGAGGCTTGTAAACAGGTTATACTAGGGGAAGTAAATTATTCTGGTAGGAGAATATTCGTAATAGGAAAAACAGTGTATAATACGAAATGTCTGAGCTTAAAGAACAAATAAGCGTGAAACAAATCAAAGTTTTCACACTGAATACAAGCCTGACTACATTGTCACTGGTGAAATTAATGAGAACTGCTTGTTTGGCTCGCTGGGTTGCACAACCACCTCGTGTAGTGTGACAGTGCCTTGTTGCCATATGTTAGGTAATCCTGATGTGCCAAAACAATGTCTAACCAGTGATGCTACAGCTTCAAGTTTGGCAGGGTTTCTTTCATCATTATCTTTCTTTCTTTGCTTCTTCCTGCTGCTACCATGCTGTTCACTTGGTTTTTTTCCTTTTACCATCTCATCTCCGGCTTCTGTTTGATTCTGTTCCTGTTGTCCTTTGTTTAGACCAATTCTTTATTCAAATCTTTAGTTTTAAAAAAACCCAAAACACTCGTGGTACAAACTTTCTGCTGAAGTCTTACTCCTCAAATTTTACCTCCTGAAAGAAACTGTAGCACCAACTGGGAATGAGTATCAGATGATAACTGGATTCTTATTTGAACCTATGATGAGCACAGGCTTTATTCCTGTATGTATTTGTTCATAGTCATGAGTTTTCAGGATTTAGCAGAATTATCTTGATGGGAGGAGCTGGGCCCTTGTGCAAAATGCTGTAGTAGAGTAACTTTGGGGGTTACTGGTGTGGTGAGGAGCAAGCTGCAGTTTTCCCAGTGTGGTGAATTGTCTTTGGATCCTCTTGTGAACTAGAACTGTAGGTCTGTATTTCAGAGCCCTGGCATTTGCAGGCCTTCCTGCAGCACCGGTTCTGAAGAAACCTTCTGGTTCCTGCACCACTGTGTCCTGCTTGGCTGTTCAATTCCCTGTCCTGTCCTCCTGATGAGCAGAACCAGTGCTTCTTACTGGGCAGGACTCGGACTCCAGGCCTCAGATCAGCAGTATGGACAATTATATTGCTGTAGTGGCTTGGAAAGGGATCTAATGCTACCTGGTGTTATTCATGACACCTATTCATTGATTCTGCTGTTTGACTTTGTCCTTTGCACAAAGCTCCATAGAGTCTGCTTCAGTTTGTTTTCATGTCTCTGGTTGCAGTACCTTCCTAACCAGTTTAGGTGAGTGGATGAGTATCAGAATGTACAGCTGCTGCAGGAAACATAAGGAGGAGGTGGTAAGCAGCAAGCACGGGTTGAGGGGTTACTGGAGAATGCAGCTGTGACCAGTAAGTTGATCTACTGTGAGTAGATGGGATTTTGACTAATTCTTTTATGTCCTCATTAGAAAGCAAGAAAACCAGCAGCAGCTGGAGAGCTAACCTTAAGGTGGGATAAAAAGTTGATGTAAGAACATATGCAAGTGGAAATAATAAAATGAGAAGAAAAAGGTATTTTGAATTTGGAGCATATTTTAGGTTAAAGGAGAATAACTAACATGGAAATATGGAAGAAACAAAGAAATAAGGGATAGTTCTGTAGGGAGATTTATGCTGAACAGCATAGGAAAGGATGGGGGAAGCCAAATCAAGGGTAGTGTGATGCTAATTGTACTTGTGAATTTATTTTTTAGATTTGATATCTGCTTCTTGCTAGTATTCATTATGCTCTTTGAACTTCTCATTACTTGACAAAAGAAAGAATAGTGCTTTCCATGAACTAGTGAATCTTATTCTCATAGGAGGTAGAAAAGATGTTATCGAACGTAAGGTGAAATAGATTTGCTTTTTTCTGCTTTTGTGTGCTATTACTGCTGCTGAAAGATGGATGTTTCTTCAAATGCTTAACTTCTGGGAGCTGTGGTTTAGGTGAATATGTAGGTTGCTGTTACTTTACATTATTGCATTATTGTGTTTCATTGAATGTGGGGCAGATTACCTGTATTACTTAAAGAGCTGTCCAACAGAAATGTGGGACCTGTAGTTCTTTTGATGCAGGAGAAAAAAATAAGAGTGTAGAACATATGGTAGAAGAGCCAAAAAGTTTTTTGGCATTTTTTTTTTCTTTTGAAAAGTTCTCATTTTCCCAAGGGATAATAGGAACCATCATCTTTGTTTAGTGATCAAGTGGCTTTTTTCCAAACTCTTAGACCACAAGCAGGTTTATTTGCATGTATATGTTTCCTTTCTCTCAATGCTATTTTCAGTTTCTTCTTGTCCATGTGTCCTTCATACCTTGTCCACCTGTTCCTTCACTCTTTTTTTACAGTATATATTTCTCACTCTTCTCTGAAATGATACCCTGTAAAAGGCCATGTCTTCTCCCCCAAAATTCACATAACTGTTCACTTTTGAACATGCTTTGGTTTGTATGGTGATTTGTGCTGAAGTCTAGAGATCACGGATGTTTCTTCTCTCTGCATCCAAACATAAGCATGATGGGTTCCTGTTCATGAAGTATAACATTCCCACCTCTAACTTCAGCCAAGTTTTAACCCAGTCTGTAATCATGCTGTTAGATTTCAGTTTTGCCCAGTGCCTCCCAAAATGCTGATGTTCAACATAATTCAAGTAAACAAATTGCATACTTTGCAAACTTTACTGTATTTGTGACAACGTTCTAATGCTATCCGTTACAAAGTGATTTATTCTCCCTTCGACTTTCTAGTGCAATGGGCAGCTGGGAAGGTTTATTTACAAGATTCTCTTGACATGAGTCTGCTGTGTCTTTGAAATATGTTGTTCAGAAGAGACCTGGAATAGTTTTTCCCTGGAAACCTTTCTTACCATGTAGACATTGTACTTGAGCAGCAACTTTTTATGTTCTTTCACACAGATACTCTATTTGACTGAGGTTTTGCTAACATTGCAATTTAGTCTCAGAATATAAAGTATATTTATTA